ACTCACCTCAGCCTCCCAAAGGCGCGGGATGACAGGCTGAGCCACCGAGCCCGGCTGGCCTTAACCATTTTTAAGTGCACAGTTCAGGGGCACGAAGTGCGTTCACATTGCTGTGCAGCCTTCGCCACCATCCTTTGTGAACTGAAGACAGCCACCAACACACGTGTCCATCACATTTTGAGCCAAGAGCATTAAGAAAATTGACATCAGTGGCAGCAACACCCTGCTCCAAGGTCACCGAGGGGCTGCGTTTCCACCTGCACCCTGACCCCCGTGAGGAACGTGCGCCGAGGGAGAAGCACATAAAGTCAAGGGCCAGCCACGAAATACACATGCCCTGCGGTCCCACCCGAGGCCCAGACCGGCCCTCGGCCCACAAACCCTAACCCCAGTCTCAGAACAGGATGCGCCGTCTTCTCTCCCTGCCGAGATCTGGCTATAATAGCTGGGGACGAGGACATGCTCCGTGTCCGTGTCACTGGCTATGCCCCGCAATGAGATCTCAACAGTCAGCTTCCCACCCACGAATCGCCCTGAGGTCCCCCTTAGCCTCGGCCCACTTTTGTTAGGGTCCAGCCCTGCTTCCTACCCATGCTGTGGTGGGGGTGAGATGTGCAAAGCCTCCCGTCACCTGTCACTCTGTCTGGGGCCACAGCATCACCAACCAAGAAAAGCTCCTTACCTGGAAGAGTATAAAGATGAGGAACAGCTCGTAGACCACACTCACGCAGAGCCAAAACCTCCAGTAAGCTACAAAGACAGAGACAACACTGAACATTAACGAGTCCAGGCCTGGGCTCTCTAAGGCTGGGCCCCGGCCCCGCCTGGCTCTCTGGTAAGGGCCCAGGAGTCCCCGCCTGACTCCCGGCAGAGGGCCCCAGGGACCCTCCCAGTCTGGCTCCCGGCAGAAGGCTCCAGGACCCCCCATCAGCCTGGCTCCCGGCAGCCGGTCCCAGGAGTCCCCCGCTCCCCCAGCCCCGGGATCCCCCCCCACCTGGCCCCGGGAGAAGGCCCCAGGAATCCCCCACCTGGCTCCCTGACCCACGATGTCTGTTCTGAGGCCGTCTCATGCCCCTGGTAGAGCTTTTATAAAGCAGGGTCTAACTCGGAATTAAACAGTTTCTTTCCAAAATGTGAATTTTCTTTTCATTTCCTTATAGCTCAGTCCTTAGATCTTTGACTTCCTTTTCTTGTCCCACTGCAGTGGCACAGAGGCCCATAAATTGCTGGACAGAGCAGCAGCAGCAAATGTCCTCGTCTTGTGTTTACTATCCACGCCCCAAGACTTTTATCATTAAAGTAAAAGTAAAGTAAGTTCGCAGCTGGTTTTTGGAGAATACCTTTGGTCATGTAAACAAAACCCCAAAAAACTCCTTTCAATTCCAGGATGTTACATTTTTGTCACAGATGGATATAAACTTGCTTTTCTGCACTTAAGAGGATCAATTTTCTTTGTACCACATTAATGTGATGACTTCTATTAACAGACGTATGTTAAACCACCCCCAACTTCCTGGCCTCCCCAGGGCTCTCAAGAGCTCACCGCAAGGCATACCCATAGGAGATTTCAGGGCTAAGCCCAGCACCGCAAAGGCCCTAACGTGCTTGGGGGAAGACGGCCACGATGGTTTATGAAAAGCCACCTTGCACAGCCAGGAACTACAGAAGTCGTAAGTTCTTAGGAAAAACCGCTGCAGTGGTTCCTGAAGTGGTTCTGGAAGTGAGACAGATGACTGAGCTTACATAGTCTTCTGGCCCTGGAGGGTAAGCCTGCCTGGGGACAGCCCACTGGCTGGAGCTGTGCTAGCGGCTAAAAGGGCCTGGGGCGAAGTTAACCCAGGGCAGCCTTCACAGCCCCCTCAGGGCAGGTGTCCAGCCACAGGCGCTCGACAGCTTTATGCCCACAAAACCCACAGAGTTCTGGCGGCCACTCAGGCTACCACGCCTGCAACAAGACCTGTCTCTCCCCCTTCGCCAGTTGGGGTCGTTCCTGCGCTCCCCATCTCTGGGAAGGCCCCACCCGAAAAGGGGGGTCACGGCAGACCCCTGTCACACTCACCCTTCAAGTCCAGCAGGGATGTGGAACCGCCCTGCCCAGACACCTGGCAGGGGTCCCTTGGCTCACATCCCACCACTCTCCCTGGACAACCCCAGCAGCTCTGAGGTGGGCTCCCTGGTCAGTCCCCATCCCCAACACGGCACTCTTGTCTCCTGAACGTCAAGTCTGGTGGGGCAAACGCCAGCCTCCGCAGTCCCGGCCACCTTCCGATGGACTCCAGCCTCTGGAGGGAACCACAGAGGAACGCAGAAGCCAGGGAGGGAGAGACTCCAGTCTGCTGCCAACAGTGTCCCGGGAACCGCAGCCCATCTGAGCTTCCAGACACAGCACCTCCTGGGGGGGGATGGAGCCACCTCTCCACGCATGTCACCAGGCCCAGTGGCTACAGCTGTGGCCTGCCAGGCCTTCCCGAGCCAGACCCACGGAGTGGGAAGAAGGCAGAGCCCACGGCTGCCCCTCCGGAGCCAGAAAACCTTCTCCCACTCCTCCCAGGGCCACGCGGCCTGCGACGCACCACTTGTCTACGAAGTGCCCCGTGGCCGGAGAGGGCTGAGGGCTTCCTGCCACCCAAGCAAACAAGACATGGGACGGAGGGGGCTGCAGGACAGGCGCCCCGAGTCAGCCAACCCCAGGGCCAAGATGCGGAGCCCGCGCCAAGCGAGCAAGGTGGGAGGGGAAGGGAGAGCAGGGCCCGAAGCAGACCCCCGGCACGGGCCGCCCCGCCTGCCGAGAGAGAAGACACACTGTGTGGACGGCTGGAGGACGCTCACGGCTCGAGACCCCAAGCTGAGTGTCAGAAGCTTTGACGCTTTCAGACAAGGCGGTCCCATCGGGTCCCAAGAGCCTCCCCTGCGCCAGGGGCCAAATGCCAAGTCGAGGCCCAGCCCAACCCAAGGCTCGGCCTGTCTGTCCCACTTCTGGGCACGTCCCAGCACCCAGCGAGGCCAGCACCCAGGAGGAGCCCATGCACGCAACCAAAACGGCCGCTGGCGGGCACCCTCCCTCCACTCCAGCCCCGGGCTCGCATCGCGCCAGGTTGCTCCCTGGGTGATTCCGCTGTTTTTAAACCCTCACCCGCTTCCCCATTGCTCTGGCTGGCAGTCCAAGTCCCTCGGAGGCAAGTCTGGATGCGCTCAGCCAACGGGGCAGAGGACCCGGCTGACCTGCAAGGCAGCCCAGACCACACGGGGGCCCCAGCAGGCACTGCAAGAGGCCCATTCTCAAGACCCAGACAAAGAAGGGGCTGGGAAGCCAGACTGTTTGGGTTCCTGACGGCTTCCCACTCAGCGCCTGGTGTCCAGGGGAGCCTCACCCACAGCCAGGGCACTAACTGACCCCTGGACAGACACGGCCCTTCTGTAGACCAGTTTTGTAATACATATCACGGGCCCAAAATGTTTGCACACTTTAACCCAGAATTTCTACTCCCAGGACATTTTCTTACACAAATCATCAGGTATTTCCACAGAGCACATATGCAGAGATCCATCACAGCCCAGTTCACTACAATGAAACTGGAAACTTCCCAAATGTACAATAGTATGGCTTAAATAAAGTAATTAACTAAGTCATAGCGCATTCAAAAGACAGCTAACAGTAGCCGTTGAAAATCCAGTTGTCAAAAAATTAGTGAATAACGAAATGCTCGTTCAACCTAAAACCACACGCCGTGGTCCTCTCACTTTCTGGAGTACATTTGTACACAAACACATCAAACTTTAGTAGTGGTTGTTTTTTGTGGGTGGTTTTTATTTCCGTGTATTTTTTGTACTTTCCAAGTATTATGCAGTAAATGTCTCTAGTGAAACAGAAAAGGTAGTCTAATACCAGTTCTGAACAACAAAAAGAGAAATAGAAGAAGTAAGTTTCTAATTCCCATGTGACCCTTTGGGGAACCCATCACGCCCTAAAGCCTGAGCCCGCCCTTCTGGGAACTGGGGGGCAGAGTGTATGGCCTGTGCCTTTGGCTCTGAGGCGGGGGCACTCTGGCCCCCAGGGCTTATGAGAGCCTGCCATAACTGGGGGTGAGTGAGGCAGAGGGCACAGGTGACTGTCCCAAGGGCAACGTGGGCGGGCGCCTCACAGCCCTGTCTCTAGCCCATGCCAGCTCAGCTGCAGGGAGTGAGCAGGAAGGGGAAGCACAGGCAGGAGAGCCCGGGCCAGGACAGCTTGGGAGGGTCTGAGGCGTCTCCGTGGCTGAAGGCCGAGGGATGTGGACACCTCTGCGCCCCACGCTCCGCCCCTGCTGTGAGAGGCAGCTGCCCTCGGGGCCTGGGCCAGGGGAGGACAGGACACTCACACCCAGCAGCACAGACACAGAGCGACCGCTCAGAACAGAACTGCCACAAGGGCACACACGGAGAAAGAAATGGCAAGTTACCTGGATGAGGTCTGGAAAATGGCCCGTCTTTAGCTTGTGTGACTCCAAAACACAAGAAAACCAAAATACTGGCCACAATACCTCTGCAAATAAAGAACAAACAGCCCCTCAGTGTGTGCACGCTTCTCCCAGGAGGGAGGTGGGAGGCAGCAGGGACCCCAGGACACCCGGGGTGGGAGGAGGGCCTGGGCGGAGCTGGGCAATCCAGCAGGGCAGGCTGTTCCGCAGGGCCGCCGCTGCCACCCCAGCCGACAACCTGGCTGCGCGCGGGCGGCCGCACTCAGGAAGGGCCCCGGGCCAGGAGTCGCTGGCAGCGCCGCGCAGAGCGGGCCCCACTGAGATCCATGCTTCACACGAGATGCCTCTAATTCTGGGCGTGGTCGTGCTCACTAAAGCCCAGATGATGGAAAGACATCAGCAGTCTGCAGCTTTCTGCTCCAACGTGCTGGGACCCCGGTGGCTGCTCTGCCGGAGTGGGGTCACCTCACCAATACCACGGAACTCTTGCAACTCATGACACAGTTCTAGTGCATGGCTACAACCGCACCGCACAGACACAGGTGCACACAGAGAAGCACGAGGGACGGTCAGGCAAGGGCCCTCAGGCCGAGCCGAGCAAGACCGCAGGGCAGCCTCCCACCTCCGCAAAGCTTCTGGGGCCGCTGCAGTCCCGGGGGGGGCTGCTCAAGGACCCCCCCCCATGGCAGTGGCATGCAGACAGCCACTCAGCTTAGGCTTGCTTAGCTCAGGGTCTGAGGGACCTGGCTGCTGTGTGGCACCGGCACGCCTTCCGTGGCCGAGCGCGTCCCGCGCACAGGCACGCCCACACCCCGGTGCATTTACACGCTGTGCACCTCTCGGCTGTGGCTCCCACAGGTGAAGCGCTATACACAAGCACACTCGTGGTGGTGGAGACACACGGCCACAGACACAGGCTGCCGGCAGGGCTCTCAGAAAACAGCAGCAACTTTTGGGCCCCAAATCCTCCTCTCCCTCTGCCAAGAGCACCCGAGAAGACACAGGGGAGGTTGAGCCCTGTTGGCTGGCCAGAGGGGCGCAGGACAAGGAGCACACAAGGCCGCCTGCCCGCCCCCCGCCTGCCCGCTTTGCCCAGGGGTCTGAGGGCCTCATCCTTGGTAGGGCATTCATGGCCCCGCCCAGGAGACAGGAATTTCTGATGCAGTCTGCGGACCACGTCCAGCCCCTCACCTCTGCCAGCCTCCAGGGACAGGGAAAGAGACACCCTGGCTGGGCAGAGACGCGCCACAGGGTGGGACCCTGTCCCCCTCACAGGCACCTCTCCCCAAGGTCTCACCGGGCCACTGGGAGCAAGACAAGGCCCCAGTTCACCACCGTTCCAAGCAAGGCGGGTAGAAGAGGGCTGTGACGTGAGGCGGAAAGATGGGGACATGCTCTCCTGCCCCTAGAAAGGACATAAGTGGAAAGAGAAACAGGGGCACTGGTCAAGGAAGGTTGCTGCCAGTGTCCCTGAGGGATGACCCCGTGCCACAGCCCCCGGGCTGGCCAGTGTGCCTTGACCCCGTGATGTGATGTCCAGCGTCTAGCTCCTTGGACCAGCTTCGTGCGTCCTGCATGCCGTACAGGGGCCAGTTCAGGCCAGGTCACACGGGAACTCCCACCTGGCCACACATTTGGTAGTGTTGACGATGACTTTGTAAGGCTAATTTTTAAGAGTTATTCAAGTTCTTAGGGAGGTATTTCAGTTGGGTAAAGGAAGTATTTAAAAGGAAAACAAGTCTATTGTATTTAAAAAATAAACTTCATTTTAGAATGGCTTTAGACTTACAGTGAAAATAGCAGAGTTCACATAAATGACACACCTAGCGTCCTCACTATTAACAGCCTGCATGAACACAGTGCATGTTACAATTGATAAGCCAGAACTGACACACGGTTATTAACTAAGACCTACACTTTACTCAGACTTCCTCGGTTTCCCCAAGGTCCTTCCGTCCTGCAGCCCCACCCGGAACCCCACGTGCCATTTGACGACCTCGTCTACTCGGGCTCCTCTGGGCTGGGGCAGCTCCTCCGTTCTCCTTGTTTTGACAGCCAGAACCGGCCAGGCACACTGTGGGGTAGCCCTTGCTTGGGGCCGACTGGGTTTACAGGGTTCTGGGAGAAAGAACACAAGGCACCATCCCCATCACGTGACGTTAAGGGAACACACCATCGACGCGACTCGTGGCTGTCGGTGCCCACCGTGCTCACCTATGAGGAGCGTCGGTCAGGTTTCTCCACTGGACGGGAGGCTGTCGCTGCCCTCCCCGCTATGGTCTGTGGAAGGATGTCCTGCAGCCCACATGGAAGGACAGGGACTCACGCCCCTCCCTGGAGGGCAGAGGATCTCTTCGGAGAAGATTGTCTTTCCCTCCATTTACTTAATCAGCAGACTACTGGATTTGGCCTCTGGCCTGTGCTCTGGGCCGTCTCCTGGCCCTGCGTGACAGATGCTGCTGTGTGACATGTTCCAGCTCCGGCCGCCAAGGAAGCACTTCTCTCAGCTCCAGAGCCACTCGGGCAGGATCCTATCTGTGCAGGGTTCACTTTCGGAGCAGGCCTCTGCGGCCGGGGTCTCTCCTAAAGCTCCAATGGAGGCTGGCTCCAGGCCCTCCTCTTGCCGACGCCCACCAGGACCTATCCCGGAACAGATCACTCTCGCCGCCTCGGGATCATTCCCGTAAACTCCCCTCCAACAGTGAGACGCCTGGCGTCCCCCATGATCACACAATCACAGGCACAGCAGGGACAGATGCTAGGCAGCAGCCGGGTGGGGGGAAGCGTTCTCAGCTCGGGGAGCGCGCTCTGCAAAGTCTCTTGGCACCTTCCCCGCCCTTGCAACAGTTAGGGTCTCTCGTCACAGTCTGCCTTCCTTCCTGGAATTCCCAATCTCCTTTTTAAAATTGGCCTACATGAAGGCTTACTTGCAGTGTCATCTAGTTCTGTAGTTTGGACAAATGCAGTGTCGTGGACCCTCCGCGACAGTATTACAGTTGTCCACTGCCATAAAAGTGTCCGGTGTGCCACTGGTTCACTCTCCCCTTCCCCTGAAACACCTCATCTTTCTCCGATCACACAGCGTCACCTTCTCCAGAAAGTCATCTGGTTGGAATCACGTAGTATGTAGCCTTTTCGACAGGCTCTTTCATTAGTAACACACATTTAAGACTCATCTCTGTCTTCCTGGCTTGACATGCATCGACTGTTGTTGAATAACACTCACTGGATGTAGCACAGCTTATCTATTCACTCAGCTACTGAAAGATGTCTCAGTTGCTTCCGACTTCTGACAACTACAGGCAAAACAGTCATAAACACTTGTGTGCAGGCTTGTGCGTGAACGTCAAGTTTCCAACGCGACTGCATAAATACTTAGGCGTGCGACTACTGGACTGTATGGTCAGAGCACGAGGAGTGTGACTTCTAGGGTGTATGGTGAGCATGTCTGGTTCTGCGAGCCTGCCCAACTGCCTTCCCAGGCGACTACAGCGTTTCACATCTCTGCCAGAAAGGGGTAAGAGAGTTCCTGGTGCCAGCATCCGGTGCTGTCCGTCTTTAAAATTTCAGCTGTTCTAGGAGCTGTAGGGTGGCATCTCACGTTTCCAAGTTCCTAATTCCCTAATGGCAAAGGATTCTGAGCACCTTTCCATGTGCTATTTGCCACCTGCACATCTCTGGTGAGCACCTGTCTAGATTTTTTACCCAGTTTTGGAAGGTACCGCTTATTTTCTTACCACTGGGCTTTAAGAGTTCTCTGCATACTCTGAACACAAGCCCTTTGTCAGAGATGTGTTCTGTAAATATTTTCAACCAGGCGGTGGCACATCTTCTCATTCTCTCTTTTTTTTTTTTGAGTTGGAATCTCACCTCTGTCGCCCAGACTGGAGTGCAGTGGCTGCTCCTTGCCACCGCAGCCTCAACCTGCTGGGCTCCAGCGATCCTTCTGCCTCAGTCTTTCGAACAGCCGGAATTACAGGCGCGCGCGACCACGCCCAGCTGTTTTTGATTTATTGCAGAGATGAGGTCTCGTCAAGTTGCCCAGGCGGGTCTTGAACCCACGGGCTCAGGCAACCCACTCACCTCGGCCTCCCAAAGGCGCGGGATTACAGGC